AAGCCTGGCATCAATGAGTACACACGTTTGCACCCCCTGTGCCTTTCTCCAGCTGTGCCAGGAATCCAAGTGAGAGTTGGAGGCCTGGATTAAGGCCACCCTGCAGAGAACTGAAAATATGATTTGCAAGACTCCATGATCTAATCCAATGAGGGCAGGGAAGGAGAGGAAGGAGTTGAGGTAATTCCCACATCTGGGTCTCAGATAGGCTCAGATGGTGCGAGGTCCCTGCCACTGACCCTCAGCACAAGGGGCTCGGCTCTGCCCTGACAGGCCTGGTCATTCTTGGGAGCCTTCCCCTGGCACTCCCCCCTCTTCCTTTACCCCACTCAGAGGCTCTCCCGGCTCTCTCCTTCCTGGCGGCTCTCGGCCCTCTCCTCTGGGGTCTGTTTCTTTAGAACAAAACATCTGTTTCTGTTGCTATATCTGCAACTCTGTCGCGGCCTCCGTCACTCCGCCAACGTTCTTGAGCAGCCCCCACCCCAGGCCAGGCCCTGGTGTGATCAATCCTCAGTTCTCAAGGCTTCAGTGCCTCACTGCAGCTTTGTGAGGCAGAAGTAGCTCACTCCATTTCACAGTAGTGGAAACTGAGGCTCTCGTGCTTGGAGGAGCACCGTGATATAGGGCAGATGAGCCCCAAACTTGGGGCCTACCCTAGGAAGCTTCCTGGCTTACTCAGGAAAGAATTCACGTGTGAGCTGGTGGAGGAAGAAAACAGCTTTGTGGAGGCAGCAGTGTGACAGGTCCGAGACTGCCCCTGCAGAGCAGGGCTACCCCCACGGGCAGCGTGCTGAAAGCAGCTGTGTTTATACCCGCTTACAATCACTTGCAAAGTAAGGGGCAGTTCGTTTAGAAATGTATAGAAAAGGAGCTGTAACTTCCGGGTCACTGCCATGGAAAGGGGTGGTAACTTCCAGGTGTTGCTACGGACAAGGGTAAAATAAATACATGGTGCTTGCTGGGGTGGGTGTGACTCCTGGAGAGATGCTTTCCCAGCCTCCTCCTGTTTCGGCCAGTCTTCAATCGGGTCCAGAATTGACTCCCCATCTCCCACCTCAACCACACTCCTTCCCTTGGCCCCAGTGGTCCATCCAGCCCTATATTCATAGCCTGTCTCATAATGGTTTTACAGATGTAGAGGCGGCCAGACCTGGGACGGGCACCAGGAGCCAGGGGATGACCTGGGATGAGCTCTGGGAGCCAGGGAGAGCAGCGGGCAGCCTGGCCTCGCCTGTGCTCAGCAGCATTCGCTGGGCCTCAGTTCCCTGGTCCACACACGGAGGGTAATATTAAGTACATTTTCCTCACTGGAGTAGAGCAGAAACCAAATGGCCTCATGCCTACCCTCACGGCTCTCTTGTGAGGTGTCGCTGGAAACTCTCCGTGCCAGCAAGCACAGTGCGGACCCACAGTAGGTGACTTGTCCCTCAGTGAAGTCCTCCAGGAAAGAGCCATGGACCACACACCTCTGTGCACCCTTCCCCCACCCCCACCCTTATTAGCCTCCATCCAGCTGGCCCAGGGACAGCTCAGGGACTCGCTGAGGCGCTGTCAACGGGGACTCCGCGGAGAGACTTCCACTCTCAGGTGGTAGAGTCAGAAAGTTCGGCCGCGAAAGTGGGGTCCACGGACCGGACCGGAACTGGGAGTGGAGCTGCAGGCATTGAAATTGACAGTAGCAAACCCAGAGGTAGAGCAGCTCTGGGCCGGAGGCAACAAAGCAGAGCAAAGAAGGGGCTGGGGCAAGAGCAGAACAAAGACAGCAAAGCAGAACCAAGACGGCCCAGGAGCCCGGCTGCCGTGGGCAGCGTGAAGCGAGGCGCTCCTCTCCAGTGCTCTGTGACGGGCGGACTGTGCCCCTGGGAACAGGGCTTCCCGCAGAGGCGAAACTGTCTCCTAGGGTTCCTTCCCACGTTTAACCCTCACCTGAAGCCTGTCAAAGGGCCTTTATACACAGCTAAGGGATGGCCGCATCCTGCAGCTCCCCAGAGACAGAGGCGCTGACTCCTTTAGGCTTCTCCTCTGCAGGTGCCAGCCAGGGCTGATGCCCCGCATGGCACCCAGAGGAAGACTCATGCGTGGACCCTCAGAGTAAGAAACTAGGAAAAGCAATGGGGCCATGGGGTGCTGCTGAGCAGCAGAAGAGAAAAAAGTACATGCTTTTTACCTAGCAGGAAAGGGCAAAGGGAAGACACCCCAAATGTAAAGTGACTTTCTGAGCGCCCGCCTCCCTAACCCCACTCCCACCTCCCAGGAGTGGCCAGTTCCATCCCGCCTTCCTCCCACCCCCAGGAGAAGGTCCTGCCAGCCCCACCCAATTCCCAAGTGATGCCACCTGCCCTTCCACCTTCCCTCTCCCCACAGGGTCGCTCCCTCCTCTGTGACCGGCCCCCCAAGCCCACCCTGCTCCTGCCCAGACACAAAACAGCAAAACCACTTCCTCTTCCTTTCCCTGCAGGCCTGGCCTTTTCCTCCGAACGGTGGGTCCATCCCGCACGTCTGACTTCTACCCCCAGCCCCCATTCACCCAAAGCCCAGGCCTACCCGCCTAGTATTTGCTAGGCCTGGGCATGAAGGGAAGCTCCAATCCTGTGTATCTATACACAGGCAGGTTCTCTATTCAGCTAATACACTGGTACAGTAAACGCCCGCCTTGACAAATGCACCTTCATCATGACCTCTAACAGGCTTGAGTTTCAAATTCCTGGCCTCACTGAACACGGTGGCCCAAGGAAGGCAAAGCCCCATTCCCCGGCCCAGAAAACAGCCTCTCCTCGCCCACAGCACCATCCCACGACTGAAGAGTCTGACAGGCATGCGTCGAGACTGCCGCCCCACGCGTTCAAGCTCTGTCTATGCCTCCCACACGCAGCTACACCTTGGTCATCACTCACGCCTAGGAGTGCCCACATGGGTGGCATGGTCCCCCCTGGGAAGGATAGGCCTTGGAAACAGGCCCAGGATCAACAGGACAGACAATCCTGGCATCCCAGGTGCTCGGAACACAGTCAAGTGGAAAGTGTCTGGGAATGCCTGTGTGCCCTGCAGACTCATCAGCCTGTGGGGAAGAGCAGGGGACTTCCCGGGGGAGGGTCAAAGCAGACCCTTCCACACACATGCCCTGTGGCAGGGCCTCCCCTTGATCCTGTCCCACCTGCCTCCTCCTCCTCTCGTCTCTGAGGCGTAATCAAAATGAGTGCCAGACTTGACCAGCCTCCTCCCACTCCTACTCTGTCATTGATGGGTCCAGGGTCTCCGTGGAACCCGCTGGCCCTCCTCTGGGCCCAGCCTGGGCAGCCTGTCCTGGACCCCGGGCCCACCTCCTCCTCTGCTGTTCCACCATCTGCTGTTCATTCCTCCAGAGCCAGGAAGCACTGAGCAGACCCTCTCAGTGCCTCTAAGCCTGAGTAAGGATGCTGCTGGATCTCCACGCACCGGGGCGAAGTCATCCCAGACGACACTTCCACACTCCCAGGAGCCGCAGGGCTCCCCCCGCCCAAGGCCGGGGAAGGCAGCCGAAGGGAATGGCCTGAACTTGGACTAGCTGGGTTCACTGACACCTTTAATCACGTCCTAGTGTCCCGAGGAGCAAAACGAGTCCTTCAACAGAAATGGCACCTGCTGGTGAAGAGAACATTGGTAGTGCGGCAGGCAGGGAGCTGAGCAGGGGCTCCTGGGGCCCAGGGTTGGGTCCACGGAACACAGGACAGCCCCAGATGAGGGTCTTGAGGGGACGGAGCCTGTTGGGGCCCAGGGCCTAGCCCTCTGCACCTCCCACAAATGTGTCCCACTCTCCTCATCCTCCTCCCCCTCCCTGCTTGGTGCAGTCTCGCAGTGAAAGTTCACTCACAAAGGAGGCCCGGCGCCTCCAGGAGGCAGAGCAAAGGAGAGACCGTGGCTGGCTGTGGCCCCCTAAAGATGGCTGCACTGAGACTGTGTCAGGGCACTTGGAAAGGACAGGTGGCAGAAGGTGAGTGGCCCTGGGCCCTGGGCCATCCCAGAGGGTTCCCCAAAGTACAACCGATCTGAATGGAAGCAGGCAGGCGGCAGACCAGCCCTGTGGGCCACCGCAGCCACCTGGACACAGCTCCCGTGGACCTAGGACTGGGCTGAAGGCCACAGTGTGACATCGGGGAGTAGTTCAGACCCACAGAGTCCAAAATACCCTGCAGCAATCCAGGCTGAATCCAGGGGCTTTCCTGGAGGAGAGTTTTGTAGCAACTGGAGAACAAGAGTCTCAGAGAAGGGCAGGCGGGCTCTGCCCCTGGGAAGCAAGGAGCCTGCGGCTGGCCGATGGGCTCCAGACTCCACCGGAGCAGAGGCTTGAGCGGTTCAGCCTGAGGTCACTGGACCCTGACCTGAGTGCCTCAGCCTGACCAGAGACACAAGGCATCTCCTAAATCTGAGAAGGACTAGTAGGCCAGAAGGGCCAGTGAGGAGCGCTTCTCATCTGTCCTCACTGGCAACAGATGGGAGGGCACCAGAGAAGGGGTGGGCCGGGGACAGGACAGGCCTATAGGAGGCCCAGGAGGTCCCATGGAGACCCTGAACCTGCCTTAGACAGGGTGCAGAAAGAGGCTGACCTCAGAGACCCTGGGACCCAGGGTCACTGATAGGGGGCTGAGGTCCAGGAATGCCGCCACAGGGCCCCGCCTCTCTGTATCCTGGGCGTGAGAGGCCACAGCAGCAGAAAATAGTGCGTAACAGAAAGGTGTCTAGGATGTGGGGAAGGGAGGTCATTGGGCCCCCAACCCATCAGATGGGCGTGGTGTCCAGATGCACAGTGACCCTGGAATTGATTTCCCTGCTGGCCCCCTCTCTCTGCAGACCCCCTTCTTGTTTCCCTTGACCGCAGGCAGTGACCCCCCACCCGCCCCCGTCCACTAAGCCTTGGCCCCATGAGGGGGTCTCCCCGTGGGAAGGGAAATGGCGAAACGGGCAGCGGGGGTCGTGGCCACGCAACGTGGGAGGAATACGACAGAACATAGACTGTGGCCCCATAGCTTTAAATAAGAAATTTATTGCAAATATAGAAATTGATTCTCTCCATACAGGAATCTCCGAGTTGAGGAAAACAATTTCGTGCCATTCAGTTTTAAAACAGGAAATTGAGGGGAGGGAGAGGCAGATACAGGGAAGAGAAAAGAAAGTTAACCCCCCCCTGAAAAAAAAGAGAAGAAAAGGAGAGGGTTCAAGGCCCTCAGAGGAAGGAAAGGTCCGTACACAGCAAGGGTTCACAGGTTCAGAGCCCAGGACCGGAGCCCAGCTCTGCAGGACCCAAACCAGGTGCCCAACCACAGCCGACTTGGGGGCTGGCGGCTTGGGAGAGAGGGAGGGAGGGAGGGAAGGACGGACGGTGGGAGGGAGGGAGGGACGGTGGGAGGGCTGGGTGGCGGACACTCTAGGAACTCCATTCGCCTGCCCAGCCCTGTGCTGGGTGGAGTGGCAGAGGGGGAGGAGGAAGGAGGCCCAGACCATCCTGCCCACCCTACTGGACCCCTTCCTCTCCCTCCCGCTCTGCAGGACTGCCTGACCTTTAGTGAGGGCCGAGGCTGCCTCCAGAGGCAAGCAGTGTGCACCCGGGTTCTGTCTTAGAGGCGGAAGGACCCAGGGTCAGGGAAGGAGTGTGTCAGGACAGGATCTGAGCCTGAGGGTAAGAGGAGGGCCCCTCTCCTGGAGCTCAGCCACCTCTGGAGCAGCCACCTCATCAGAGAGGAGAGATGGCAGTAAGGTGGGGCATCCTTCACACCGCTTCCATGGGCCAAGTAAGCCCCTCAGGGCCATGCTCATGGAGACGGGACCCTGCTGGGCCTGGAATGGGCAGAGGCAGAGTGGTAGGGGATGGAGGTGGTGCTTGGGGGACAGGCACCCACTGCAACTCCATTCCCTCCAGGCTCGTCTTCACACCTGCCCACCCATCCTTCTGGCTCCTCTGGTCATTCAGAGCTTGGGCCCGTGCCCCCCCAACCCCCCCATCCCACAGGGGATGTTCCCTGACCACCCTTGGCCCTCCCCTCCCCATCACCCTATTTTAATTCTCTGCAAGGCACCAGTCACCAGGGAGCTTTGTGTCTGTCCCTTCCCTGCACTTAGACCCCTCAGAAGTGGGGACCTGTCACTGCTGTCCCTAATTCCCGATGCCATCCTGGCCTTAGCACTGTCACTGCCAGGTTTCTTGACTCTAAGTTTCCTTCCCTCTCCTTTTCTTCTCTGCAATTCTGTCTCCCCCTCTGTTAAATTTCCAGGGGGTGGGTGGGGCAGGCAACCAACTTCCAGTTGAGAACATGGTGACTTTCCGCCAGCCCGACACTCCATGCTGCTGCTGCCCCAGCCCTGCTGCCTCTCAGGGGCGATCCAGGCCCTGCCTTCCCAAGTGAGTCTTTTTATTCCCACCCTCCTTACTGCCCTGACGGCCCTTTTCCCAGACCTACCCCCACAGGCTTTCCACACTGCCTGGGAGGGGAGCGCAAGGGAGGGATCGTTGGTAGGCAGACAGAGACGATTCTTGCTGAGGGAAGAAGTGAGGCCGTAAGGCTGGGGCCTGTGAAGAGGTGTCCCCACCACCTAGGCTTTCTTGCCTTCCTGCCGGCCTTCATGTTTTGCTTCTAGAAGGCCGTGAGCTCCAACAGAGGGCTGGCCGCACCAGCTGTGCCCTTCAGGAGGGAGCAGACCCATCCCTACTTCCCACAAACAGCTCCAGAGGTAAGTCTCCAATAGGTACCAGGGATGGACAAGCCCAGGTGTGACCTCGTTCGGGCCCAAGGCAGGAGACCTCCCTGCAGAGGTCCAGGGCGCTGCACTCACATGTCCTCCAGCCAGCTCAGCTCACCCCTCACACTGCCGGGGCCCGTCTCCCCTCCCTCCCTGGGGCTCCCTGTCCTCCTCTCCTGGGTGTCTGTCCCCCGGCCTGCCCCAGCTCAACCGTGCTCATCACCATCACAAACCCAAACCTGGACCAGACTCCAAGATGTCAGCGTTCAAGTTGTTTGTGAATCCTTCCCTCCCGCCTGGGAAAAACTCATCCTGAGCAGGAGGCGGGACACAGATGCAGGCCAGCCTCCAGGTGGGTAAGCCCTCTTCTAACTGAAAAGTTAGGGTCTGGCCTGGCCGGGGAGGCCAGAGTCCTGACGCTTAGACTCTGCTCTGCCTCACAAAGGACCACATGAACTGAGTCGTCAGGGCCAGTCCCCTCCCAGAGTTTCAGGGTCCTGCTCTCCAGATGGATCCCTGTCCTTGCAGTCGGAGCGTCTGAGGTTTTGATAGCTATCTTCAGGCAGGAAGGATGGGGAAATGGCAAGGACAGGCGCTCACTCCTACTGCCGGGAACCCTCCCTGAGGCCCACCCAGGCGGGCTCCTTCTTCCCATGGTTCCTTTCTCAAAGCCCCCAGCCCCTCCATGAAGTCCCTCACAAAGCCCTAAGTTCCTGGCCTCCTATACTGAGCAGTGTAACCGACCCTCCACCGCAGCTGGCCGGCCAAGTCACCAGGCCCCTGTCTGAGAGCCCTGACTTCCTCATCTGCAAAATGGGAACAAGCAGGACGGACGGACAGTCCCTTCCACCTGGACATGGTGCCTCACGGAGGCTTCCCTGGGGCTGCCCTCCCTGGCATGGAGGAGGGGAAGGAACTGGGGAAAAGGGAGGTGGCAGTGGGGAGATGGAAGAAGGAAGGGAGGTGGCACTTGCAGGCCCAATGCCCAGAGAGGCAAGAGGTGGTGTGGGGCAGGGCTGTGTCTCGGTGGCACCTGTTTTGGGTCTGTTTGCAGAGCTGACCCCTCCCTGGGTTTCAAGAGCTGCTCGTCAGATCACAACAGACGCATGTGGGAAAGGAGGGTGTCAGGGAGGGGGCAGGGGAGTCTGGACAAACTGGCACATACACGACAGATGTTTGCTCAGAAAAATACAGTAAAATCGTCATGCAAATAGAATGGGGAGTCTGCTTGCTCACACCCTGGTTTCTCTGCCTGCTGGCTGTTGTCAGTTGTGCCAACTGGGTGTGAGGAGGGGTTGGGGCAGGTTTGGGGGGCCGGGGAAGGGAGGTCTGCTCCAAGTGTCCATGCCACCCCCTCCCCTCCTTGCCCCAGGGAGAACAGTCTTTTCTTTGCAAATGTCACCCCCAAAGTGAGCCCTGGGTTTCATTCACCCCACAGTTGGGATGAGAGAGGTGCTGAGCTGAGCCTGAGCCTCCCAGCCCTCCGCTATCCCCCTGGACCCCTTGCCCCCAGTAGGAAGACGGTTGGGGCCCCCCAGGGATGGCACTCACTTTCCCAGTCAGTCCCTCCAAACCAACACTGCCTGGCTTGTCCCACCCCAGCCCCTACCCTCACCCCTCAGTCATACTATCCGAATCTCAGGAAACCCATGTGGGCCACAGCCCCAAAGTTAGGGGTCTCTGGCAGGAACGTGGGGAGAGCCGAGGCCCCCCTCCCATGCTGAGGTGGGTGGGAGCCGAGGGGCACGTCGCCAGGTGGGCAAAGTTGCTAGTACAGGCTTCCCCACGCCCCACCGGCCCAGCTCCCACCCAGAGGTGAAGGATGATGGACTCCGCCCCTCAGCATCCCGACTGGTTAAGACCCCAGTCTCAGGACCCCAGATTTGCCTCTCAAGAGTTGGCCCCAGGAGCTCCCACCAGGCTGGTCTTCCCTTACCACCCTCACCACCAACTGCCACCACCCACACAGACAGAGAACCCCAGAGCACAACGGTCACTCTGGGCACCAACTGCCAGGCACAGGGTTACCATGGCGACAGAGGATGGCTGGGAGGGGGCGGGGTGCCAGGAACCCAGCCTGCTCCCCACCCCTCCCAGATCAGCAGGGTGCCTCACTGTTTGTGCTTTGTTTGATGTTGGGTGGGGGTCAGAAAGAGGGGAGTGGCCATTGCCATGGAAACATGGGAGCCTCGCCAGCCAGGGGGCAGGCTGCGAAGAGCAGCCAAGAGGGGGTGGGTGAGAAAGCCCTCCTTCCCTGGCCGGCTGAGACAGGAGCAAAGATTCCACGATGGGGTCAGGCAGGTGGGGATGCAGGCCACAGGGACACACAGGATGTCCCCACGACACCTCCTGCCTGCAGCCCCCCCAGGCATCACAGTGCACCGCTGTACTTCTGCGGTGGGCGGGGGTCTCGGAGGACCAGAGAAGCTGGGTGGGGGCTGCACCTGAGATGTCCTGGGAGCCGGCCTGCCGCCACACACTCCACTCCTCCCAGGCCACACGGAAGACACTTGAAGTGGGCTGGTGGAATGTCGCCCTGCCTCGGCTCCTTTCCCATCAACAGGACCCTCTCCCTTCTGACCGGTGCTAGCATAGGGGACAAGAGCCCCCCCAGGATTCTGAATCACAGCTGCACGCTCTGGCGGCACTGCCATGTGGCTTTCTAGGAAGAAAAAGCACCTGCCTGACTCGAAAGTCCCTCAGCCCCAAGGGACCACAGGTTGGAAGGGGGTGTTGGAGGCTGGGCACGGGGTAGGCGGGGTCCCACAAGGCAGCTGCGGGGTGGGGGGGTTAGAAGCACTGGGCTGGGAAGTTGAGGGACTTGAGGCTAAGCTGCTATGCGACCCTAGGGTTGTCAACTCCCCTCTCCAGGCCTCAGTTTCCCCCTCTCTCTAAAGTGGAAGGAGACAATGCCCAATGCCTGTCTAATGCTAAATCTTCAAGAGACCTGACCCCCAGCTTGGGAGGAGAGCCTCCCTCTGCCCCAGAGGGGCTTCAGTCTCTCTCTACCCTGGCCTTCCTGGTCCACACACCTGTTTCTAGCCCCAGACCCCCAGACCCCACACCCTCTCTTGGCTTCCTTCCTCCCCCCGCCGGCCCCCGGCCCTGCACCCCCAGCAGAGTCCCTGGGCAGCACAGTAAAGACGACTGGTTTCGGTATCAGTTTGTAAACTTTAAGGAAGATGTGTCTTTGTTTTCCTGTCCGTTATTGTCGGATGTTGTTTTGTTCACAGTCGGGTGGTGGTCAGGTGTGTGTGTGTGTGCGTGCGTGCGGGTCTGCATGTGCGTCCTTCCTGGGCCTCAGCCCCCGAGTCTGCTTCCCCACCCTGGCCGCCCGGACCCTTCCCCCAGAGGGCCCCCAGCCCTCTGGCTCCGACCTCACCAGGGAGGAGGGGGTCACAGCTTCTGCTGGGCCGAGACCCCCTTCCAGTAATCAAGGATGTCGTGCAGATCCTCGTCCTTGGCGAACTGGACCTTCTTGCGCAGGGCGTGGCCAGCGGCCATGTACACCTCCTCCCGGTGGTGCTTCTTGTAGGGCCGGAAGCGCTCCCAGATCTTGTGCGTGCTCTCAGATGAGTACTCGGGGCTGGAGGAGTACCCTGAGTAGTAATGTCTGGGGGAGAGCTGTGAGTAGGTGGAGTCACGCTTGGAGCGGGTCAGCGGCTTGAGGAAGGACACGCGCTGGCTCAGGCTGTCGGCGCCCTCCTCGTAGTAGAGGGCGGGGAAGCTGTGCCGGTGCTCGCTGCAGTGGTAGGCCGGCTTCACCTCCAGGTGGTGGATGCCCCCGCCCCCACTGCTGCCCCCGCCGCTGCCTGCTGGCACCAGTGGGAGCCGGTCCAGTGGGCTGTTGAGAGGGCTGCCCTTCTCTATATACTTGGAGTCGCCCTTGGCCAGCCCCGTGGCGGCCGGATGGTCGGGCACGTCCAGGCTAAAGACCTTGGCGCTCTTGATGGAACCACTGGAAGACACGCTGCAGGTCTTGCGGGTCACGGCCGCGTCGGCGCTCAGCTGGCGCTGTAGCGGGTGGTGGGAGCTCTCCTTGTAGGGAGGGGAAAGGAAGCTGGGCCGCTCCAGTGGCCCCGGGACAGTGGCCTGGGAGGCGGCAGCAGCCGCAGGGAGGGACTGGCACTCGAAGGCCAGCTCGGGATCCCCACCACTGCTGCCGCCTCCCAGGAAAGAGGCCGAGTCCAGCTTGAGGGCGTCGATGCAGTTGTTGATAATCTGGTTGACCTTGTCCACCTCCTTGGCAATGGTGGAGATCTCCGCAGCCGAGCCCTGGCCGTTCTCCAGGTCCGGGAGGTCATCCTCGGGCCGAGCCAGGCCGTCCCCGCCAGCCCCTGTGCGCACCTCGATATAGTTGCCCTTGGTGGCCACCTTGGGCGTGTCCAGCCCGGCCTCCAAGCCCTTGGCGGTGGGCAGCTTCTCCCCAATCATGGAGGGGATGGAGGCCATTCGAGACACAGGCAGCACGGGGGGCTCGCCCAGCTTCTGGGCGGCATGCACGATGGAGCCGGCATCCACGTCGGCCCCGTACCGCATTTCCAGGATGGTTTTCTTGACGTTGACGGACTTCTGCTTCTCCTCCTGCATGCGACGCTTACGCAGGCAGTAGTACACGGCCCCCAGCACGATGACCATGCCGAAGAGGCAGCCCAGGATGGTCATGATGTAGTGGGTGGTGGTGGAGGTTTTGGGTGCCAAGTCGCCGGGGACGGGGTCCCGCGTGGTGAAGGTCAGGCAGGTGTGGTTGAAGCGGCGGCTGTTGCGCAGAGAGGTCACGCAGAAGGTGTACTCAGTGTGTGCCCGCAGCTTGTCCAGCGTCACGATCTCCTTCTTGTTCTTGAGGGTCATGACGTCGGAGAAGTAGCTGTTGTTGTACTGCACCAGGACGTACATCTTGCTGTAGGGGTGTGGGATGGTGACCACCAGGGTGGCCGAGGTGAAGGTGACGTGGTGCAGCTTGATGGCGGGCCCCGCAGACGCATCCGTGGTGGATGAGGCCGGCGGCTCCACCGAGAGGATCTCGTCGGGGTTGAAGCCCGAGTTCTCGTCTGGCTCCCTCTGGGCGTCGGTGGAGTAGGGCGTGGGGTGGCTCACGGGCCGGGCGGGCAGCGAGCCGTTCCGGCACTTGGCCTGGAGCACGGTGATGGCGTTGAGGCTGTGGTAGGGCCGGGGCACCAGCAGCGGGTAGCCGGCAAACTCCCGCGGAGACTCGCACTGCAGGCGGTCGTAGTTCTTGGTGACATTGTTGAAGACCACCAGCCAGGCCAGGAAGCCGAAGAGGTCGCACTCACAGTTGAAGGGGTTGCCGGCCAGCTCACACACCATCAGGCTGGCAAGGCTGGCAAAGGTGGCGCCATCCAGGCGGCTGAGGCGGTTGGAGGATAGGTCGATGCTGATGAGGCTGGGGCACTCAGAGAAGGCGGTAGGCGTCACCACCTCGATGAGGTTGTGCTGGACAAAGAGGAACTGCAGGCGGCTCATGCCCCGCAGCATGCCCTCTGTCAGGTTGCTGAGCTTGTTGTAGCCCAGCTGCAGGACCTGCAGGCTCGACTGGCCCAGGAAGGCACCGTCCTCGATGTAGGAGATCTCGTTCTTGGTGAGGTTGAGGTCGGTGAGGTTCCCGAAGCGGTTGAGGGAGGAGTAGAGCACGGCTTTGAGCTTGTTCTCGTTGAGCCGCAGGTCATGCACGGTGCTGTTGATGTGCTGTGGGATAGTCTCGTAGGGCGGCTGGTTCTGGCTGCAGATGGCCAGCCACACGTAGCCTTTGTCGCCCTCAATGAGCCAGCAGTCAGCGCGCACGGCGCCGGGCTGGCACACGCACAGCAGTGCCGCTGCACACAGCCCCAGGCGCAGCATGGCGCAGGCCTGGAGTTAGGGGCAGGGCGAGGTGTTGGGGGGGTGGTGCCTAGCGGCCAGAGGCTGGAGCTGGCAGTACAGTCCTTCCTGGGGCCGCCACCATCTTGGGGGCGACCCCCAGCACGGGGGCCCCAAGCAAGGTGGGTACAGCTAGTGCCAACTGCTGGGGGCCTTCTGGGGTGCTACGGCAGGCACTAGGCCTGGCTGGGGTTAAGGGTGGGGGCCCCACAGCCTGCCCCCCCGCACAGCGTGGCTCCTTGTCTCTTGCTGAGAAGGTATACAGGTTCTCAGGGATTGACCTCCTCTCACTCCTCCTCCTCCTCTTCCTCCTTGGCTTCAGGCTCAGAACTTCAGACGATTCCCATAGGCGGCTGGAGAGCGCACACTGAGTGGGGAGTGAGAGAGACGGGGGCAGGAAGGAAGAGACCCATCTGCACCTGGTTCCTGAAAGGCAGCATGGAGAGCAGGTGACAGATCAGTGTGAGGGCTCAGAGCAGCCCCGTCAAGCTCCAGCACAGGCTCCCCCCGCCCCCCCATCCCCCCATCCCTTCTCCACACCTCGTCCCAGGGCCTCTGTGCCAGCAAGCACTCTAGGGTCCCTGTTATATCCAAGAAGCCAGGCTTGGTGGGTGGCAAAAGGCAAGAGGGGGCCCAGGGCCTGGGATGGAGGGAGACAGAAGAATAGGGGGAGTAGGGGCAGAGTCTGAGGACTGTGGGCACAGAAGGGACACTGGAGAGGAACAGGTGGGCACAGGTGCGGGCACACCCCTCCCCAGCACACTGGAGGACACGCTCATCCCCCACCCTGCAGAGAGACCCACATGCCCCCATCTAAGCCAGACCTCCACATCATGCACACGTCCACAGCTACAAACACACACACACAAGCACACCTATGATCTGCACAGGACAAGCAGGCCCCTATGCACATGTGTCCACCGATCCAAGCAGGCACCACTGGACCCAGATAAAGAATTAAGAAGCTCAGCAACATGCCTTCTTTCCTCCATGCCCAAAAGATAAATAATTCATTTGTTGTGTAACTGCTCTTGTTCCAAAAATAATTCCCTTGTCTCAGCTTCCATGGGGGAGGGGGAGCAGAACGTCACAGCTGTGATGCCCCTCAAGCAGGGTACGCAGAAGCCAGGGTCTCCCACTGTGGGAGAGTGTGGGGAGAGCTCATCCCACAGGCAGAGCAGCACCAAGGGAAAGAAAGGCAAGCCTCGGAGAGGCCAGAGACACCCCCAGATCATCTCCCCTCCCCTGGGGCATCTTGATCCTTGGGAGGGGGCCAGCCCTCTGGAATAGTATGGCTGAGGCCCGGCTCCCCTTCCATGGCTGGAGAGTCAGAGGCCCAGAGAGGGACAGGGAGTTGCTCCAAGTAACACAGCACAGCCTGGACCAGGATCAAGGCTCCCGAGGCGCTAAGCCAGGAGTCAGGAGGCCTAGCACCCCATCTATCTACCCAGCCCAATTAGCTAGGCAGACCACAACATCTGAGTCTATCTCCACATCTAACAAAGTGGGTCCCTTTCCGGCCCATCTGATGGAAGAGAAGAAGCCGAGGACTAATGCTGCCCATTTCCAAGATGCAGAAGGGCAGGGAAGGCGGCCCAGGGGTCACAGCAATAGGCCATCAGGATCAACCCTCACTCTCTAAGTGGAGAAACTGAGTCCCAGACCCAGGAAAGACTTGGCCAGGTTGCCCAGCAGGCTGGACACAGCCCTTTAGACAGACCCCAGTGCCAGCTCCCACTCTGTGCTCTCAACTATGGAAAAAGCCCAGTTCTCCCTCCCTCTGCCCTGGGCAGGGGCCAGGGATGTGAAGATTAGATTTCAGAAATCCAGAAATTTGGACACAAAAAGCCAGGGACTGTTCACGGGAGCCACCTCTGCCTCCCTCTCCTCCTCCTCCTCCTGGGAAAGTCCAGGAAAGGGTACTTTAAAACAATGTCTAAGTCTTTGCCATTAAAGCAAAACCAATTTACAACCCTGAGCCCCAGAGGGCAGGAACAGAGAAAAGGGAAATGGGCGTGGGGCGGGGGTTAATTACACAGGAAGTCCCAGGCAGGCCAATTTTGGTTGGGATGGTGAAAGGTGAAGAGGGAGTCCACAGGGCCCGCTAGACTAAAGGCTGATGCTACATCAGAGGCCGTGATGATCGGGACCTCTGAGGCCAGCCTCACACCTCCCCAGTCCCTGCAGGACCAGCCTGGGGGTGCCACAAGGCAGCCAGGCAGGAAGGGGTGCCCAGGCAGCAGACAGCAGCTCTGTCCTTGGCTGTGCTATGCAAAGGTCTCAGGGCTAGAGAGACCTTGGTCCCCATCCAGCACAGCCACTGGCTCCTGGGGGACTCCAGGCCAGTTCTGCCCCTCTCTAAGCCTCAGTTTCCCCTCCCAGAGGTAGCAAGGTTGTACTGGAGGAGGCTGAGTCTCCATGCTTCCCACTTCAGAGATCCTTGAGCTGGCCTGTCAGAGAACCCTCGTCTGCTCCAATGTAGTCCCTCCTCCTCATCAGGGAATGTCTGGGGACTGCATTTGTATGCAGGTGCACACGCAGGTGGCTCAGAGTGCCGACGCAGGGGTGTGCTGACGTGTGCAAGCCAACGACGTGCAGGCAGCCGCGTGTGCATCAGCTTTGGGGCACGCGCTTGTGTGTGGAGGGGTGGGAAGGCACGTGTGCGGGACACATCGCAGGAAAGGCAGGGACCCATCTGTGTTACAGTTGGCATGTTTAAGTACGTGTGTGTTATGTGTTCTACACGTGTATGTGTGTGCATCTGTGCCTCTCTGGCCCCTCTCCTCGCATCTGAGTTGCTCAAACCAGCATCCCCACAGCCAGGCCCAGGGCACTGGGCAAAGCCAGGCTGGTTGGAGACTCAGGAAAGCCAGACCTTGCCGAAGGATGCAAAGAGGCTGAGCGTGGAGGGGCGTGGGAAAACAGGCCCACATGGGTGGGGAGCTAGTCCTGCCCTAGCTCTTCCCAAACAGTCCAGGATGGACAGAGGCCCTTGGTGCCCCAACCCCAGGCACTCCAAGTTCTGCCCACCTAACCCTCAAGGTGACCTGCCCATGGTCTCTCCTCTTCCTCCCGGTCTCCAGGATGACTTGGGCTGGGCCCGGCTCCCACCTGCCCCGTGACTCAGACGGAGCTGGGAGTAGGTTTCCATTACCCTGTCCCAGGTGCGTCAGCTGCCTGGTCCCCATCCCGGGCTGCCTGCCTGCCACCCATGGAGACCTGACGCAGCCACGGAGGGAACAGAGAGGCTGAGGCCAAGAAGCCACTGACAGCAGCACTTGGCCCCTGGCCCAGCTACTTACACACTCAAGGTGTGGGCGTCAGGGGCACTAGCCTGTCCTCTCAGGTCCAAGGCTGAGGGTCCAGTGGTCAAATGGGCAAGGTCGTGCCCTTCCCCTCCTTCCATGAGGGTGATCCTTCCACACATACTGCAGGGGGACACGACAGCACCCCGCACACCCAGGTGGTGAGACAGGAAGAAGGGGGGCTGCAGTGGGGAGGAGGGAAGGAGAAGAGTGGCAAAGCGAAAACATCCAGGCGGCCAAGCAGAGACCGACAGAGGAGGGGAGAAGAGGAGGAAGCGCGTGTGAGACAGAGCACCGGTGGCAGTGAGCTATCTAGGTGATAGACGGGGGCGGCACAGGGGACAGGGACACAGATGACACCTGGTCTGCCTGAACCACGAAAATGCATCCTGTGACGAGCCCAGAGGGAGCAGGGAGCGGCAGGAACAGTGGTGGGAAGCAGAGGCCTTTTCTGCCCAGGGCCTTGGTGACACAGCCCAGGAGGGGTATGGCCATGCAGGCAAGCAGGCATGGGGGTGGCGTGCTCTAGCAAAGAGCATCTTCCCCTTCAGGCCCCAAGTGCCCCAGTGGTGCAATCTCGGCTCACTGAAACCTCTGCCTCCCGGGTTCAAGCGATTCTCCTGCCTCAGCCTCCCAAGTAGCTGGGATTATAGGTGCCTGCCACCACACCCGGCTAATTTTTGTCTTTTTAGTAGAGAGTTTCACCATGTTGGCCAGTCTGGTCTCGAACTCCTGACCTCGTGATCCGCCCACCTCAGCCTCCCAAAGTGTTGGGATTACAGGCGTGAGCCACTGTGCCCAGCCAAGCAGCTCTCTTTAAGGGGTGTTCTCTCCTTCCACCACAGAAGAAACAGCTGCACAGCCAGGGTACATGTTATTGGGGGCTCCAGGTCTGCAGGTGCATGCTGTATGATGACCCCTCTCGTGGGGACATTCCTGGGCAGAGAGGAGAGTCAGTGAGACCCTGCAGCACTCGCTGCTCTTGGGGCAGAGCTGGTGGTGCGGGGCTCTCAGTTCAGAACTAGGCAGGACCGCAGACCCCAGAGTCACTCAAAGCAAACGCCTCCCTTCTCTGGGCCTCAGGCATAATAGGCTACCCAGTGATCCCACTGGTGTGTGCCCTTCCTGCCCGGGTACCCCAACATCCTGGGCCCCCCTCTGGAAGACAAATCAGAACTGGGAAGACAAGGAGTCCTGGCTCAGCCCCACCCCTGCCCCTCTCGAAGGGCAAGCTGGGCACAGTGCCTGACCTCTGTGAACAGCAGCTGCTGTTAATGTGGGTTCCCTCATCACCCAAGATCAGGGTTCCTCTGGACTCAGGCTCGCTGAACCTTGGTCACATCCTCTTGGCCCCTCACTGAAGGCTGACTCCCAAGCCTCCCTGTCAGAGGACAGTCTAGACACCCACCCCGGGGAGAGCCCCCGAGGCACTGTGGCCTGTGGAAGGGGCTGAGGGAGGTCAGGCCAACTCTGCAGGGTGGGTGAGACGGTGCACAGAGCGAGGCCAGCCAGGGACGCAGGCAGCGGAGGTCAGCAGGGAAGATGCAGACCCAACCGGCTCTGAGACCCTGGGTGAGTCGCAGGCCCTCTCCAAGCCTCAGTTTCTCCCTGAGTGGCAAGGTGAGTACCACCCAGCTCCCAGGGCTCCCCCAAAACCCCAGGACATGACAGAGACACACACGCTCAGTCCAGGGGAGGAGGCCTCACAAACACCCCACGCCAGGTTCCCACTCATGTGGCCCCACTCTTCTTCCAGGGACACCCATCAGCTCCAGGAGCAGATAAGGGAAGCACCGTCTGTCTCCTGGCATCCCAGGAGAGGGACATGAGGCTCGGCCGGGGAAATCTCATTCGCAGCAGCTCATAAGCCCTGGCACAGGCTCTTCCCTGGGCCAGGCTGGCCAAGACTCCCTGAGGTGTCATTGTCACTGTCCGTGTTCCGTGTCAATGCCATTACCCAGGATTAGGAGGACCGAGGACTCCTGGCAGATCTCTCTGGCAGGCAGCCACCTCGCCCCTCACTGCTGAAAGCCCAGCACCAGGCCAGAAACTCTGCCCTCAGGGGCAAAGCCTCCCTCCCTCTGGGGAAGAGACTCAAGCCTGGGGTCCGAACACTGGTAT